TAAGTATAAATACCGTACTTAGTTTACAAGTGTGTAGTTTTGCTATTAAGAAAATTAGTTTGAAGATGTCCTCACTTTGCCAGTGATGACGCTTAACCTGGTGGATTATGTGTTTTCAAAAAGATAGCTTGTAGCCTTTAATGTATTAAGACTCCATTTTTGTAAGTAAATTCCCATACCTAAAATAGTATACGTAGTTTTAATACCATAAAAGCCAATTGTGTAAACCCGGTACATTGTAATGTACCCCTTTAGTATAAACCCGGTACTTTGTAATGAACCCCTTTTGTATAAACCCGGTACTTTGTGATGTACCCCTTTTGTATAAACCCGGTACTTTGTATTCGTACCCCGTTTATATGAAAACCCGGTACTGTGTAATGTACCCCTTTTATATAAACCCGGTACTTTGTATTCGTACCCCGTTTATATGAAAACCCAGTACTTTGTAATGTACCCCTTTTGTATAAACCCGATACTTTGTATTCGTACCCTGTTTATATGAAAAACCCGGTACTTTGTAATGTACCCCTTTTTGTATAAACCCGGTACTTTGTATTCGTACCCCGTTTATATGAAAAACCTTTTGTAATGAATTTGAAATGTAAAAGAAACATAAACTATACCTATTATAGTTTATCATAATGTTTGTATTGTATATGCAACCTAACTATACCTATTATAGTTTAGCATGTTTGTTTATGGTGTATAATAGAGTTTAACTTTACTTATTATAATTTATTATAATCATTTGTAGTAGTAGTACTTCTTTGTATACGATTCATACCTTTAAACTAAGGTAAATAATGTGTACTATCAGCAACATGTATCCAAATAATACTACACACCTTGCTCAGCAAGTTACAAGGTATAAATAGGATTGTTAACTATTTATAGAAAAATCATCGTAAGTCGAAAACTAAATTCGTAAACTCTGAGAGTTTGGAAAAAAAGTCTACTGTGTTCATAAATGTTCTTATAATTTTTGGTGGCCTCAAACCAGTGTGAAAATGTTCATCTTCACAGCTTGGTCTGATTTGGTTACTACAGTGATAGGCAGTTTTGTAAAAATCACCATAAATTGTAGAAAACTCGTATGGAGATGTGCAAGTAGTCATTTTAAAGGTATAAACCTGAACTATTTTCATGTTAAACAGTTTTGAAAAATATTAAGTTTAAGTTAGGTAAAACAGTTCATGAACAGGTCACAACTTTTCTATTGTAAGCTGTCAAGTTAAGTTTTAAATATGTTTTGGTGTTTTAACTTGTATTCCCCCCCCCCCCCTCTGAAAACTAAAGAAAACTGGAAAATGTAGGTGTATGAACTCACCTTATGTGATTTCTTGAAGGATGGAAGGTTGAAGATGATGAGTTTCAAGTCGAGAACATTTGATGAACACACGAAGTTTTTGGATGATCTTATGAATGATTTCGTGTTAATATGTGTGTAGATGATTCAAGAGTGTTATGATAACATGTAATAATACTTGATTTAGAAGGAAATACTTACCAATAAGTGAATAAATAACTCAAGAACACTTCAAAAGTGTGGCTGGAAGTTGAGAGAAAAAGAGGTTCTCTTGATGGTTAAGAAGTGTGTATGTGTTTGATGGAGAAGAAAATGATCAAGGAAATCCCCAGGCATTTCTTTATAAGAAGGATTGTTGGATCAAGTGGCTAGGGTGAAGGGATGTTTACATTGGTGTGTGTGATGTGGATAAGGGTGGACCAATGAGAAAGTGACACATAAGTGCAAGTGGACACACTTGACCCACTTGTAACATAAAATATCCTAAGCCCTTTTCTTTAATGTAAAATAATGATTGATAATTAATAAATCCTTGGGATGTGATTAAAATATAAGTTTAGGGAGTTTAAAATACTAAAAATATGAATTTGGTGAAAAATCCCCGTCAAAATCGTCAAAAACGGGCTTAAGAAGCGAAAGTAGTCGAAAACCAGGAATAAGGGGTGAAACTGCGAGGTTCGGTCCTTAAGAACCGAGAGGGAGGGTTCGGTCTCGGTGCATGAGAAGGTGGGTCTCGGGTCCGAAGATGAGGAGGAAGCGAAATGGACCGAAGGCTCGGTTCATTTCGGTTGTTTATGAGGTTTCGGTTCTGCTGACTTCGGTCCTCAGGGAAGTTTGGTCCGAGGCTAAGTTCGGTCCTGAAGGGACCTTCGGTTCCATGTAGTTCGGTCCTAATAAGGAGCTTCGGTCTTAGCAGGATTCGCCTCTAAGAGGGTTTCGCTTCAAGAGGCTCGGTTCCAATAGGGTTTCGGTCCTAAATGGCTGTTTTTCAAGTAAACTTCCCGATTCGAGTGGTTTTTGACAAAGTTAAGGGTCGGGATGACCCGGATGACTATAAAAAGTTGAGAGAGATTTTGAAAGAGAGATTTGGGAGAGATTTGGGAGGGGTTTGGGAGAGATTTGACTGTAGTCTTTGTTAGTGTTTATCCTGGCAATGCAAGGTTCGTAAATCATTTAGGCTTTGTTTATGAATGTTTTAAGCCCCCAAAGGGTCCATAATCGTGTTTTGGTGCATTTAACTCCCTTCTTAGGGTTTTACATTGTTAAACACATAAAATCCCCGAGACACTTGAATTCTTGCCATATAAATGCACATTTTCATAGAATAACTTTTAACATAGAAGTACTAGTTAAGTTTGACCGGTTTGACTCGTTGACTTTGACTTTGACTTGTTGACTTTGACTTTGACTTGTTATTGACGGTTGTCACAGACATGAATCGATTATGGTTCTTCATCAAAGAGTAAAATATATACGCCCTCAAGCTGCATAGGAAAATTCATGGTTCTATCAGACCCCATAAGTTTCTCTTCACGTGCAGATAGTTCTATGTTTTCGCCCATTTCCTCTTTAGTGTCTTTTTGTTCCCCACCATCAGTTTGTATGATAGGGCCAATAGAGATATAGGTTGTTGCCTAGCCAAATTATTCTTTTCTTTCTCATAAAATCTAAATATATCTTTCCTCTTTAGCTACCTTTTCATTGGCTTCAGTTGCCAACTTGTCTTCTTTCTCTTTGGCGTTAACCTCTACCTTGGCATTGTTTTCTATAACCTTGATTGATGCCTCTTTTTTTTCTTCCACTTCCTTGAAGGATTAAATAGCTTTCTTTTCTTTTAAAGCTTTGTCTACCTTAAATCCCCAAATGTTTTCATGTTTTGGTACCCAACTTAACAACTTCATCTAAATCTTGAGCCTTTTGATGCAAAGATCAATCCTTTATAGACTTCATGAATTGAGGCTTCACTTTTTTTTAGAACAACAGCGAAATAAATTAAAGAAACCCAAAACTAGCTAGGAGCTACCAAACAAGATCAAGGCATAATTGGATTGATTAACCAAGCAATCCAATTGATCCTAGCGTTAGAGTTTCCAAAAGTAAACCAACGAAAAGAAAAATCAACAATATTATCAAAGATAAACTGTTTCTGATACTTTGAGGCTTCACTTTTTATTTCTATATTTTTTTTCTTTCTCTCTCTTTTTTCTTCACTTTAAAACTTTGTAATATTACTTTGTTTTGAAATATTGCCAATGGAGAGAGATCAAAGGTTTCGCAGTATGTTCTGAGACTCAACAACAGAGCCGACCCATGGGGAGTTCAGAAGGCGCCCATGAACAGGGCCCAAAAAATCATAGGGCCCATATTTTTTTAGCATTTATAGTAAGTTGTTATCAGTTAAGGGCCCAAATAGAAATTAGGTTTGGTAAGCATCAAGCGACGCAACGCAAGGAGGAGCAGGAAAATCATTTTTTTTTTTTGGGAAAAGAAAAAAACGCTTCAATTTCTTCTTCTTCGGTGATAACGCATGGGTACAAATTAAATCATTCTCATGACGGGAAACAACAACAAGATTATTGTTGCTTAATATCAGTAGGTTTAAGAGGCAATCATCAATCTTACTAGTTACTTCTTTCTTCTTTCTTCACGAAATCTTGAAGGCTGAAGCACGATTTAAGATGCAATCATCAATCTTGAGGTTTCAAAATCAGAAGGTAAAGGATTTCTGAGTTTTGACTTTTTTCTGATTTTTTTTCTACTTCGTTTTTTATGGGTTTGTAATAAGAAAGTAAAGAGTTGTTATTTTTTGAATTTGAAGGTATGGACAAAGTTGTTTTGAAAACCGAAAGGCACAAGGAGGTCAGTATCGAAAATCAGAAAGAATAAAGAAATCAATTTCTGATTTTTGAAGGTACAATCAACTCAGCTTCTATTTTTTTTTTTTTGGGTTTGTTTTTTATTTTTATTTCTGATTATTTATGATTTATAAGAAGTAAATCTACTTCAGTTTTTTTTCTTTCATTCTTTTTTAATCCTATTTTCTTGATTTCAAATGCATTGAAGAAAAAATCTTCGAATTGTCAATCCTTCTTTGAGGTTTAGAAGTTTATGAATTTTAGATTTTTTTAGTTTCAAAAAACTAGAGGGTAACTTTATGATATCTGATTTTTTAGATAGAAGCAAATTAGAGTTTTATTTTTCTCATATTATAATATAACTTGTTGGTTTCATTTTGTTCTTTTTATAGTTTTATTAGAAGCAAATCATCGATCAGAGTTTTATTCTTCAAAATCAAGAAGAGAAGCAAATCCCCAAACCAGAGCATTATTATTTAGAAGGATTACACTTTTCAAGTTGAAGCAAATTTGTTTTTTTATGTGTGTATTATTTTTTCATGAAAATTAACTTATGTATTTTACAATAAAAATGAAAAAGTATAATTGGTTTGCTTAAATGTTTAGATCTTTCTAATTTTAGGCCCCATTTTTTGTTAAAATGCACAGGGCCTTCAAAATCTCTCGGCCGGCCCGGCTCAACGACAACACTCTAACGGTTAGGGACGAAGCTTGAAACAAAATCAACTTTAAGAACCATTTATGTAATTAATGGAACATCTGGACTAAACATAAAACTTTTGACATATCTCAAGAAGTTTAGGGAAAAATTTTGTAATTTACATTTTACTAGATTAACATATTACACCTTGAGCAAAAACTTTTACAAAAACCCTGTTATAATTGGGCGCGCCGATTCCAGGATCTCTGCTTTCAAGTTAAACATTTAATCAAAACCGACTGCAATTGCTTCTAGTTTTGCTTGATCGGGTATGCGAATGAATTATAATTTTGTGTTATGTGTTGGAGTCGGACGATAAAAAAGAGGGATATGCAATTGCTTCTTGTTTCGCTAGATCCATTCAAGGAAATCGCGGTTTCTTTTTCTAATTAATTCAAAGCCCATGATGAAATTGAAGAAGTTATCGACGAATTTGGCACAAATACCATCCATGCGTAAGAAGTTTAGCTCTTTAGCAGCAGCAGCAGGAATTCAGAAGGAGAAGACGGATTGTGTGGTGATAGGGGCGGGTGTTGTGGGAATAGCTGTAGCCAGAGAATTGTGTTTGAATCATAATAGAAATGTTTTAGTGATCGAATCCGCTTCCACTTTCGGCACCGGTAGCAGTTCGCGTAATAGCGAAGTTATTCATGGCGGAATCTATTACCCTCCCAATTCTCTCAAGGTTCTCTCTTTTCTTCCTTCATTTACTTCCTCCTTCAATCTCTCAATGTAACAACACTCAATTCAGTAGTTCTAGATGTGCAAACCGTTCATTTTAGCCTTTCTATAACGTCTTTCTGCATCCAAAATTCTGTTCCTGATTCCAAAATAGTCTGCAGGCTCGTTTTTGTGTTAGAGGAAGAAGGTTACTATATGAATACTGTAAGGAACATGGGATTCCACATAAGCAAATTGGGAAGCTAATAGTAGCTTGTGGACATGAAGAGATTCCAAAGTTGAATTATCTGTTGAATCGTGGGAATGAAAATGGAGTTGAAGGGCTAAGAATGATGAAGGGATCTGATGCAATGAAATTGGAGCCTGAGTTGCAATGCCTGAAAGCTTTATGGTCTCCAACTTCAGGAATAATCGATTCACATTCCTTAATGCTCTCACTAATGGTATGACTCCAACTTTTTGCCCCATTCAAAAAGGAGTGAAAGACTTCATTAGTACAAAAGACGTAAATGCCCTCCTCATATAAATAAAATTACGTTGCTATTTCTTAGGGTGAAGCAGAAACTCATGGAACAATTTTTTCTTACAACTCAACTGTGATTGGTGCTCATATAGAAGGAAATCAAATTAATCTCCACATTTCTGAGACCAAATCTTTAAAAAACTTGGATTCAAAGTCTCAAGGGAACCCGGATATTATACTTCTCCCTAAACTTGTAGTCAACGCTGCAGGGTTGACTTCTACAGCTCTTGCAAGGCGTTTTCATGGCATAAATCATGGAGTGATTCCTCAATCTTATTATGCACGTGGATGTTATTTTTCTTTATCGAATATTACGGTTTCGCCATTTAAACACTTGATTTATCCTATACCTGAAGATGGTGGTCTTGGGGTTCATGTTACTTTGGATCTTGATGGAAATGTCAAATTTGGCCCTGATGTTGAATGGCTTAGTGATATAGATGATATCTCAAGTATGCAAAACAAGTAAGGTTATGCTACTTTTGTTTGTGATTAAGTCTTGTTTGAATAAATGATGTTAAAAAATATTTAGGAAAAAAAATGAGGGAAAATTTGTGAAAGGTTTGGAGTTAATGGAGTAAGTCTCTTTAAGTTGTTCTTTTTGCATTAAGTCAAAACACAGTACCCATTTGTAGCTCAGTTTACTAGATTTTTTTCCTCATTAAGTGTTGTTTGGATAACTGATGTTTAAAAAGTAATAGAAAAATGATGGCACACTTGGTGAAATTGGATAAAAAAAAGGAAAATGTGTAAATGGGGAATCTAATGAAAGACCTTATGTTTTGTGTTTTTTTTTAGTAAATTACACGAATGGTCCCTATGGTTTGGGGTAATTTGCACGCTTGGTCCCTAACTTATTTTTTTAACTCGGAAGGTCCCTACTATATGTTTTTGTTACGCGGTTGGTCCCTGTCTTACCTAAAAAGACTATTATTTAAATAGGGAAAAATGATGGGGTAGGTAAGGTAAGGTGAGGGGGTGAGGTTGGAAGTGTGTTTATTTAAATAAATTAAAAAATCAAACACAAAATAGTCTTTTTAGGTAAGACAGGGACCAACCGCGTAACAAAAACAAACAGTAGGGACCTTCCGAGTTAAAAAAATAAATGAGGTACCAAACGCTTAAATTACCCTAAACCATAGGGACCATTCGTGTAATTTACTCTTTTTTTTTGGGATTAAACCTCATCTTTATTTTTTTCATGAAAAAGACCTTATATTTTTTCATTTTTTCCAAAAAAAAAAACCCTCAACTTTGTCTTTTTTTTCCGAAAAAAACTCTCAACTTTGTCTTTTTTTTCCGAAAAAAACTCTCAACCTTCTAAATGTTTCCAAATAAATCCTAACTTTTTTAGTTTTTCTTGAAAAAAAGACTCACATTTTACAACATTTTTTAGAGAAAAATGACTAAAAGAGCTAGATTAGAAAATATGAAAAAATGCAAGGTCTTTTTCATAAAAAAAAAATATTTTGAAGTTTAAAAAAACACAAAATATAAGGTCTTCTATGAGATTAACCCTTAAGTAAAAAACAAACACCCATATATAGCTTACTAAGCCATGTTTCTTTTTTTTCCAATTAAGTGTTGTCAGGATAAATGATATTTAAAAAATATTTGACAAAAATGTAAAAAAAAAAAATGACGACATATTTGGGAAATAAAAGAAAAAGTAAATGCATGAAAATTTGTAAAATGTCAGTAACTTAATGTGGAAAGTTTCAATTTTTGTCTTTTGCACGTCAGTCTTAGTCTCAGTCCACTCCAACAGACTTGTCGTGTTATGTCCTTTATAATATTTTTACCTACTAGTATTTTTTTTTTCTAATGAATTTTTTTTTAATAAAAATTCAGGTTTGACTATACGGTATGTGCTGACCGTGCCAACAAATTCTATCTGGCAATTAGGCGGTACTACCCTTCTTTAAATGACGCGGCCCTGCAACCTGCTTATGCTGGCATCAGACCAAAAATTTCTGGCCCAGGAGACGCATTTTCTGATTTTCTCATTCAGGTTCTTATTTAAAATTCCTTTTCAATTAATCATATAAACATAATATTTCAACTTATATACGAATCATTAAATACCATATATCAGTACTTACATACTTTCAGTTATAAAACATTAAGGGCTAAATGCAATAAACAACAACCTACTTTCATTTATTTGTGTAGTATAGCATCGTATGTATATTTACCATTACATCATTCTACTTACAGTTTTTTATTTTTTTTTTGATAAATATATTTAGTTATAAAATTGTACTTTAAATTTCTTTTTTTTTTTTTTAATTATGAAATATAATCCCAACACTGTTGTGTAGGGAGAGGAGGGTCATGGGATACGGGGACTTGTAAACCTCTTTGGGATCGAGTCTCCCGGTCTAACATCAAGTATGGCAATTGCAGAGCATGTTGCAGCCAAGCTATCAAGATTCTAAGTTTCTATTGGCCCATGATTTACTTATTGTTCTAATTTTTACATTTTTATTGGAAAAAAATACAGAAAAACACATCATTTTATTGATTTAGTCAATTAACTATTTTTATGTAATGACTAAACCATTATACCTTTTTCACCATTTAATAAAAACATTTTTTTCGATTATCTGGTTTTGATATCAAGTCAAAATACCGAAAAGTACTTTCATCATTTTATTTATTTAGCCAATGAACTATTATTTTTATTGATTAAGTCAATGAAGTATTATTAGAATAACAAATTATTAGTTTAGTGGCTAAATTAAGTATGTTGTGTTTTTGTGTATCTTTATCCATTTTTCAAATCGGGTAATAAAAAAACTATTTTTTTAAACCATATACAATCTCAATCGTTTTTAGTAGCAGGTTGCATGTGAAAAAAATTGAATATAAACTTTTTAATTAGTGTTCGATTTGACTATTGATATGTTAATAAACTTAGATAGACGTATATTAAAATTATATCGTCTCAATGGCGTCTAGGGATGTGTGTTTGGACCGAATACTCAAACCGGAATCGAAACCCGACCCCACCTGAATTAGGATAGAATAAATTATTCGGACCGGTTTACCCAAATAACACCTAATTCGGCTCTAGAAACCCGGACCGAAAACGTTTAATAATATTTTTTTTTCTTGAACTAGATATAGTATTTCCTTATAGTTTAGGACCAGGTTTTACGGTTCATTTGGGTTATTCGGGTAATTTCGGTTCAAAAGAGTACCAAACTATTCAGGTTTTTCGGTTTATTTGGATTATTCGGGTCATTTCGATTCAAAAGCATTGTGTACATGTTATTTCGGTCGTTTCGGGTTACTAACCGAACCGAACCGGTCCCATATTAGTATAATCGGTCCGGGTTTTGGTTCCAACTTTTCATCCAATTCGGGTTTTGGGTTATTAGGGTCCGGGTCGGTTCCTGCCCGAAGCACATCCCTAATGGCGTCTATCATTGGTTGTGAGTAAATAAAATTAAATATAATATGTGGTTTATTATTATATGGGGATTAATGCAGAAAAGTCTCATTATCTTGGGGAAATTTTTAATAAAGTCCTAAAAGTTTTTTTTAACAGAAAAATCTCGATTATTTAACATTTTGCCCAAATTAACGAAAAAAATCATTTTTTATATTTGAACAACAAATGACAAATTATGTAATTTTCTCAAAATAATGAGATTTTTATGTTCAAAAAAAACTTTTAGGACTTTATCAAAAAATTTCTTGAAATAATAAGACTTTTCCGCATAAAACCCTTATTATTTGTGACTATTGTTATAGTTAAATAATTTGAAAATAACTTATTTGCTCAAATTTTTAATTTCCATCATTATGATTATTTCAAATATTGAAAATGGTTTTGTTTTTAATCTAACAATATAATTTTTAATTTAATGTCATTTTTAACATTTGTTATTGTTTGTTGTTTTTAAAACTGCTTCTTTGGAAAGTTTTTATCATTAATTCAAAATTTATGACATTAAAATAAGTTAATTTTTACATACAACAACATTTAAACTAATAAATTTTGAATATTTTGTTGAAGTTAAACATTTAGTTTTTAAAAGTAGAATAGTAATAGAGGTTATTATTTAAAAAAAAAACAAATTAATGTGATTTAAGATAAATGGAACAAAAAAAATCAACATCTATTTTCTTTTTACAAGAAACTATACAAATAAGAAATAAAAGAAAAAATCAAACTTCTATTACTTGCATTACAAAAAGATAAATATATTCATTTTAAACTACCAATCTTCATCATAGCTTTTCAGCAACCATAAGAACAATAATAAAATTTATTAACAATGACATATTCTAAAGTCTACTTCTTTCTTGTATCAATGAAAAAAACAAATTCAACTTCTATTTTTTTTTTCAAGAAGCTATACAGATAAAAAAAATAAAAGAAATGATTAAGCTTCTATTATATGCATTAAAATGGAAAAATACATTCATTGAACTAATAATCTTCATCATAGCTTTTAAGACAATCATATGAACAATAATAAAAACAGTCAGTGGAATACTCATTCTCCATGCTTCCAACTGAACCATTATAGTTTCCTCCACCCACTTTTGGTTCAAATGGTTCTCCATATGCTCTTTGTGCTTCATTTCAAAGGCGGATTTCATGTTCTTCCATCGTCTCTTGCATCTTTCCCAAAAATTCCTATTTTTGCTTGGCCATCATATCCACCATGAAAACTTGAATATGTTCCAACATATTTGGTTCGGGTATAAACTCCTTATTAACTTCATCTTCATTAGTTTGCACATTAGGGGTATGACTACCATTCTAAGTAATTTAAATGTTAGTTATAATATAATAATTGAACGTTTAGAAACCTAAACATGTAAATTCTTATTTCTCATTCCAACGCCAACTTCCTTAAGATTTTTACTTTTCCACCAGAGCACCTTTAGTTTAAATCTAAGTACTAGTCCAAGTACCTAGTTCACTTAATCTCATGCTCTAATACCAAATTATAATACCCCTTGCTAGCTTCTATTTGAAAACGTAGTTACGAAATCAGTTATACCTTTGAAAAAGTTTCATCATAAATAGTTGAGGAAAAATATAGTCCCGATTCACTTAAAACTTATAATTAAGTTTGAAAATAACGAGGTTGTTAACAATAAACATATCAAAACACTTGTTCAAGCTCACCACACAAGTTGTTGTCTTCTCAAAATCCAAGCTAAGGTCTTCTACTGCTTGACTTTATCTTCAACCCGAGCATATGTCAAATAAGTTAGACAATGGATTTGCTTAGTGAGAATAGTCGAGGTGGATTCATTTGGAATAAGAAGATAAGAATTTAACTTACTTTAATCCGCCTCTGAAAAACCATTTTAAAATCATTTCCAAAATATATAAGGGTTTTATGACCCAAATCTTATCAAAAATTATTCCAAACATATTGTAATTTAATGGCCCAAAGTTTAATATAACCATTTCAAATAAGTTAGGGATTAATAACCCAAATCAAGTTTAATAAAATCATTTCAAATAAGTTGGGATTTAATGACCCAAATCAAGTTTAATAAGAACATTTCAAATAAGTTGGGATTTAATGATCCAAATTAAGTTTAAGGGTTTATGATCCTCAAATCAACTCTTAAAAAACCAACAACCATAAATTAACATTTGTTAGTTAAGTAAAAATCAAATATCAACTTAGTTCAATAAATAGATCAAGCAAGTAACAACATTAGTGTTATGCAACACGCAACGATACTAAAATCCAAGTTCATCTCAAGAAGTCCAATGACGCAAATTTGATGGTTGGAAGCTTGAGTATGAATGAGTGTATTTCACATACACCTTATAGTTATGAAGGAGCGTATTCCAAACACAAGTAATGGGGAGTATATAAGAAGGAACATATTCCAAATTAACATCTCCCAAGTCCACATCATAGACTAGGTATTCATGAACCATCACATGAACACCACACAAGGGATAGTTATCTCACTTGTCCATAGTAAGGATTATCTAGAAATTGCTTACTATCATCATACATCATAATGGTCAATCCTGTATGGATATAATTAAGGGCTCACACGGGCACCTATCCTAGAATGTATGAACATGTTTGATTCCCAAATCATAAATCATAGAACAACATTTTTGTTAGGACCCTTTTGATTTGAAAAATCACATGTTCAACTAGATCTAATGCAACTAAGAATAACCATATGGGGGTTTAAAGATTACAAAATCTCATAGTCTTTGATTCCTCGTTCTAGCCAGTAGAGCGGATGAGTAGAATTCAAACTAGGATTCCTATTTCGTAGTCGCACCCAAACAACATATCAACGACCTTGACAACCACCATGAAAAAAAAATAACCCCTAAACGATTAGGATTTTGTTCATGTAACACCCGGTTTCGAATCGCTTCATTTTCGGGGTTGCGGCCCGATCATCAGTTATCATAAGGCTTGGGATCTTGGGGAAGAAAGGATTTGGCCCTTTTTAGATGAGGGTGTTAAAGTTTAAGTGATCCGAATGTTCGATGGTGTTTCGGAGCCCAAGGGCATAATCATAATTTGTTACTCGATTCTTTATGAATTTTGTGTTTTATTCGGGGAGTTTTAAGGCTATGATGGGTTGCTAGAAGTGTAGGGTTTCTCGTCACCTTTCCGTGGATATAAAGTTTGTCGGAAACGAACCTAGAATGAAAAAGTTATTGTTGGATTAGGTGTCTAAGCCCATAACTATAATTGGTATAAACTTGAATTGATAATAGCAATGTCCTTTTGGGTTGCCTTCAAACCTGGCAATGGAATAGGATGACTGTTAGAGAGAGAATGATGATTTATTAATTTATTACTTGGTTGATAAATTAATTTGAAATCAGAATAAATGATTTAATTAATGTATTATGTGAATAATATATTAATTAGTAATCATATAGTTTAATTAATATTTAATCAGAAATTAACTTGGAGTTAATTTTGGGATTAAAGAAATTAATTGAAACTACAGGGACTAAAGGTGACAATGTTCAATAGTTGAACATTGAGCATTCTAGAACCTCCCTTAGAAGGGGGGGGGGGGACAAAATCTAGATGCTCCTAGGGTTTCCTTGGGCTCTAAGGGTGCCTTGGAAGCCTTAGGTGTTAAGATTTATGGAGTCATGAATATATTGACAAGTTTCTAAGAGCTAAAGGGCCATAAATGTAACTTGGCAATTAACAATTGAATTGAATTGTTGGGTAAACGTCACTATCACCAACTCTCATGTGAAAAAGGAAATTTGTTTCGGCTGCAGAAAAACAACATTAAATGCATAGGAATTATTTCAAGCTACGCATATTTTCGAGGAGGCTATTTTCTTCCTTTGGCAGACAATTAACAAATGTCAAATGGTGGGTATTCACTTTCACATTAGAGTGAATTATTGTTACGGCTCACAACATATATATAAATATATGTGTGTTGTAAGTAGAAATAGCAGAGAGCACAACACAACGATCATATATACACATAAAAGAAATAGTGAGGTTGTATTTTATTTTTCGACGGT